CCTAAGGTGGCGGGTTCAAATCCAGCCCGGGCCCGCAAAAAAACGATGACAACTCCAACCAAAAAATAGCCAGGTGTTGTGGTAGGCGCCGATAGTTCCAGCTACTTGGAAGACTGAGGCAAGAGAATCGCTTAAGCCCCAAGAGTTGGAGGTTGCTGTGAGCTAGCTGACACTCTACTGAGGGTGACAAAGTGGCTCTGTCTCTAAATAAATAAATAAATAAATAAAATTTTAAAAATGATAAAATAGACAAACTTTAAAAAACTACAAAACGGGCCAGGTGTGGTGGCTCATGCCTGTAATCCTAGCTCTCTGGGAGGCCGAGACAGGTGGATTGCTCTGAGCTCAGAGATTTGAGACTAACCTGAGCTGAAGTAAACCAGAGTGAGACCCCGTCTCTACCAAAAAAAGCAAGGCATTGTGACAGGGCACCTGTAGTCCCAGCTACTTGGGAGACTGAGGGCAAGAGAATCATTAAAGGAAGAAAAAAAAGAAAAAAAATTTTAAAACTACAAAATGTCACCAAAAGAATTAAAAATCCAAATAAATGGAAAGACATTCTGTGTTTTAGGAAAAGAAGATTTAAAATTGTCAAGACATCAGTACTATCCAAAGTGATCTACCGATTCAGCACAATCCCTATCAAAATTAAAATAACCATTTTTTTTTTTACAGCTTTTGGCCAGGGCTGGGTTTGAACCCGCCACCTCTGGTATATGGGGCCAGCGCCCTACTCCTTTGAGCCACAGGTGCCGCCCTAAAATAACCTTGTTTTTAAAAATGGAAAAGTGAATCCTCAAATTTATATGCAATTGCAAGGGGCCTTGAATAGCCAAAACAATCTAGAAAAACAACCAAGCCCCACATGTAATCCTAGCACTTTGGAAGGCCAAGGCAGGAGGTTTGATTGCTTGAGTTCAGGAGTTAGAGACCAGTCTGAGCAAAAGCGAGACCCCCCATCTCTACTATGTTGTGCGATGTTCTTTCTCGCGAGGAGAGAAGGACAGCTTGGCCGCGGGTGCAAGCTTGCTCCTAGAATTGTTTTTTTTTTTTTTTTTT